CATAGCAATATCCTTCATCAACCTACACAACCATTGCATCCTATAATTCCCCTTGGCCATTAATGACATGGGGAATGGATATAGTTGGCAAGCTACCAAAGGCTCCTGGTGGAAATGTGTTCATGCTAGTGATGACAGATTAATCTCGAAATGGATAGAGGTTGAAGCCTTTGTTAAGGTACGAGGCAAGGAGGTAGTCTCATTTATCAAACGTAATATCTTGACCAGGCTCAGGATCCCTACCAAGATCATATGCGATAATGGATCCCAGTTCATAAGTAAGAGGACTAGAGACTTTTGAACCAGGTGGGGAATTAAGATGATAATGTCCACTCCTATTCATCCTCAAGCAAATGGTCAAGATGAATCTAGCAACAAGATCATCGTCAACAATTTAAAGAAAAGATTAGATGAGAAGAAAGGAAGATGGGTGGAAGAGCTTCCCTTCGTCTTATGGGCAGATATGATCACTTTATAAATAGCCACTAGCCAAACTCCATACTCCTTAGTGTTTGGAACAGAAGTCGTGATCCTTACTAAAGTAGTGATCCCAACGGCAAGATACCAATTGCAGGATCAAGAAAACAACGATAGGATCCTGACCCAGGATCTTGACACTGTCGATGAACTTAGGGATCTTACCAGGATCCGCATTGTTGCTCATCAACAAAGGATCACTAAAGTGTATAATAAGAACATCAAATTCACAAGATTCCAGGTAGGAGACTTGGTCCTTAGGAAGACATTCCAAAATACCAAGGATCCCAGTGCAGGAAAATTTTCACCTAAATGGGAAGGACCATATCTCATCGATTCAAAGGCAGGACAGAGACATATTGGTTAACTACCCTTGAAAGGAACATTTTTCCAAGATCCTGGAATGCCATTCATCTAATGGCATACTTCATGTAAGTTGCGTAAATCACTTTTGACGAACTCAAGGTACATTCTCTTTACCCTCTACTTTTATCTGTTTCTTTTATTTACTCTTCTAAAAACCACTACTAACTTAAGCATCGGAGGGACGGTAGCCAAGCTAACGCCCACCCCAAGCTAATGTTTGCCATGCACAAGAACTCAAGGATCCTGACACAACAAGGATCCTGACATTCGAGGATCCTAGCACTCAGGGATCCCAATAGATACATTGTTCTACGATCTTAATGATTGCAATAAGTAAGTATCCTAGTAACTATGAATAGAGACTGATCATCTCTCCTACAATTAAGGGTACTTAATCCCCTCTAAGTTTTAAAGAGTTAATTACCTCTTTCATACAAGTTAAGGTTTATACACCTCGCTTGGACGCACAAAGTCTTACTATGGGATGTGAATACGGGGATCATTTCACGCTACAGTGACTTGGCAACCCTCTTATTTCTGAACATATGTTAAGATCCTGATGTTTAAACCTAAGGTTTATAACACTAACGTGTTGTTTTAAGTTGGGATTTTCCCCAATAATTTCCTAAGGTTTATAACACTAACGTGTTGTCTTGAGTTGGGATTTTCCCCAGTAATTTAATAACGTTTATACTACTAACGTGTTATATTAAGTTGAGATTTTCCCCAGAAATTTCCTAAGGTTTATAACACTAACGTGTTATCTTAAATTAGGATTTTCCCTAGTAATTTCCTACGGTTTATAACACTGACGTGTTATCTTAAGTTGGGATTTTCCCCAGTGGTTTGCTAAGATACATAAAAATTTTCATGTTTTCATAAGATGGGATTTTCCCCAGGATATGTCTAAGACTTGTCTCATGATTACAAATGGGGATCCTTCCCATTTATTCTACGAGTTGGGATTATTCCCAGTTAATTCCTAAGGTGGGATCCTCCCCGGTTTGCTAAGTAAAAGCTCAACAAGGATCTTTCGTGGTGAACTCCTAAAGTAAGGATCCTTCCATACGCAAACTCCCAGATTATGTTAAAGGAATCACAACTTCAAATTTCTCCTAACTCAAAGGATAATGAATACTAAAGAGCACTAGGTTCTATCTATCCATTCTTTAAAATTATTTTTTCCTAAGTAATGTTTGAAAGTATGTTATCCTAAAAGATCTTAACTATTTTAAGATCCCAAATTGATGACTAACTATTTTCAGGTTATCCAGATCTTGAAGAGTTCTTGTTAGACTTGAACTTTTTAGGATCCTGATTATGTAAGGATCCTCAAAAATCTTGTCGCTACAACCACACAAATCAACCACATAAACAAAAAAATATACCAGCATCAACTACTTTAGTACATAAAGTAGAAAGGGGTTGCCCACCAACCCCATAAAAAGTGAATATTGTCTTACATAGCCAAAATATTAAAAGTTATTTTTAACTAAATAAAATCGAAGCTACTGAATGATCACCACCTCCCTGAGCCACCTTCGACTTCTTTCCTACTTCCTTTGGATACAATGTAGGATCCTGATTGACAACAACAGGCTTGCTAGTTAATTTTCCCAGGGCCTCGGGCCATCCGGTCACATTCCAGGATCCTACATTCTCAAGATCCTCCGCAAGCTTGATTTTCGCCTCCCAAACAACAATATCAACACTCGCCTTCACTTCCGCAATGACCTCGCCCATCTCAGCCACATGCTCCTCTTCCTTCTCAGCTTTTTCCTTGGTCAGCTTCTCCACCTTCTGCATGAGCTCCTTGTTGATTCCCTCTTGCTCCTTTAGAGCATGCTCCTTGTTGATTCCCTCATGCTCCTTCAGAGCATGATCCTATGTCCAGATTGTGAAAATGATTCACTCGGTGAATCTAGAATAAATTCCTCCAGATAATGGGCATGGATTGAATGTATGAAAGTTTTGTGGCTTGGAAGAAATTAGAAACAATGTCTGAAAAAGGTTATTTGAGACCCATATAAAATGGATACTCAGGGAAACATACCCAGGAAGGAGAAACGAAATCAGGTTGAATGGAAGCTTCGAAGGATCTGAAGATTACATCAGAAGGAAAAGCTCTGCTGGCGATATATATATATATGACTATCAGGAAGGAGAAACGAAATCAGGTTGATTCCCTCTAAGTTAAATGACTATCAAGTAAGTGCGGAAGTAATAACCTAACAACCGATATATATATATATATATATATATATATATATATATATATATATAGGTTTAGGGTCATTTGAGACCATGTTAATTTTGAGAGACCGTGAGATGCAATCTAAAAAAAAAATTTAAAATGCAAAATAAAAGGAAAAATCCGAAAATTCATTTTTTTAATAATTATTTTCGTCATTTTCTTTACTTAAAAAAAATTAATAAAAAAATTACCATTTTTTTTTGAAAAATACGTGAAATATTATAATAGAATGTTACACTGTAAATATTCCAAGTGATTTTTAGAATGTTAGAATATTCTAGTATTCTAGTAGATTTTTCAGATATGTAAAATATTCTAATATTCTACTAGAATATTTCACAGATATTTCAAAAAAAACGGTAATTTTTTTTGGATAAAAAAAGTGACGAAAATAATATTTTAAATTTTTTTTTCGAAAATTTTCAATTATTTTGCATTTTAAAATTTTTTTTATCTACAAAATGAGTGGCTAGGATTGAGTCTCCCCGTCTCACAAAATATAGTGGTCTCACATAAACCTAACCATATATATATTATATATATATATATATATATATATATATATATATATATATATATATATATATATAACAATAATAAAAGACCAGAAGAGTAAGTAAATAAACATTGTAATGAACAAAGCACAATCTTTTATTCAAATAGATTGTCTAGCAAGATTGTTGAAAATATGTAAGGAGAAGCACAACACAGTTTCCTTTTTACAAACACAATTGATGACATAAAGGGTCAATAAGAACTGAAAAAAGATAATGAAATGACTAAGTAATCTAGTCCTTAACCAACAATCATTACAACTAAGCAAACATTAACTTCTATTACTGAAAGACAAAATAGAAGTTAACTTCTTCTTATCTTTACTCATCCTTCTGAACATGGTTCTTCCAGATCTCAATTACCTTCGGATATGACAACCTTCAGTCAGCAGCTTATTGTTCATCTTCTGTGGAAGGTCACTTCTGGGTTCAACAATCTACCCCTAGTCAGCAGCTTACTGTTGATCTTCTGCGGAGGGTCACTTATGGGTTCAACAACCTACCCCCAAGTGACCGTAGCTACTATTTATTCAAGTGTCCGAAGTGTCATTAAGGAAATCTAATACCCTTCTGCAAAATCTTCTAACAACGAACATCCATTGAATCTGCTTCATGACTTCTATCTTCATGTCAGTAGAGGCTTGGGGCTTCAATGGAAACATTCCCACGACTCTTCAGAAACGAGTTTGAGCACCAATGTTTCTGACTCAATCAGAAGAATTGCGTTTCTTCTGAGCCGTCAATCTAGTAAATGATTCCTAGTTCTGGAGTGTTTATGATTCTAAACTCTCAATCTTTAATTCCTTCAAGGCTTGAGTCCATTTCTTCAAAGTGAGGCAAAGGGACTAGATATTTTATCTCAAAATCAGTTGCTGCTATCTCAAGAGTTGTTCTTTGGAGATATGTTCTGATGGGAATGAGAGTATCTTTAGTTTTTTCCTTTGAGGGGATCCCTCGATTCAATTCCTTGGCAATGCACACGAGATCAGCAGGATTTGCGATGGGGAAGTATGCTTCAGTGAGATAATATTCTTGTTCATTAGATATCTGAAAGTAATGCCCGTTTGGAGAGATAGGAAGATCCAAATCATATTCAGAACTTGAAGGAGCATTAGAAGTTTCAAAAGGAGAAATTTCATTGTCTTCAATCATTCGAATCAAGGATTTCCAAGGATGAAACAAAGGACCTACATCGATTTGCTCAGAGGGAGAGGAAGGAACAATTTTCTCTTTATTAAATTGTTCTTGTAGGAGAGTTGCAGTCATATGGTCATGATGTTCTTGTTCTATCTTTAGTTGCCTTCTTGTCTCTTCATCAACTTCATCATCATTAAAAAATGGCTCTGTCATCAGAACAAATTCTTCAGTAACTTTTGATTTCCGAGATCTATGGGAAGAGTTGGAGCTTTAGGTGGGGATTTTGGAGGTGACGATTTTGGATGTGACTTCGGAGGACTAGGATTTTTAGGAGGAGACATAAGAGGAGTGTGATGTTTCTTTGATGAGTTTTCATCATCATATAGGTTTTGAATTATAGCTCCTTCTGGTATCTTCTTCTCATCATCATCCTTCGGGGAGTTGTTGGTTTCTTCTCCCCCTTTCGTGAAAGACGACACGACCTCATTCACAAACCTTGACTTCATTTCATCAATCTTGGAGAAAACATTGAGAAAGGATTCAATGAAATTCTTAGAGAGGGCATCGACGCCTGTGTTGATATCGACAGTGTTAAGAAAAGCACCATTCTTCTGCACATATTCATTGAGCTTATGTGATTCCTCTCGATGCCACTTTTTCAGGAGTTAGACATCATTAGAAAGTTTGTAACACACACTCTTCATGACTAGAGTGTTGTTACGATAGTGAAGAAGATCCTGCCGTAGCCTTTCAATTTCATGACCATGCTATTTTCCCAGAGTTTCAAAGAAAGTTTCAAGGGATGTCTTAACCAAATTTTTGTGATCCGAAACTCCTTAGTAAGATTATTGAGGATGGTGGTGATGGAAGCTTGAAAATCCTAAATATGTTTGAAGCAATATTCCTCTTGAAGAGTAGATTCAGAAAGAACCTTCTAAATAACTTGTCCATGATCTTCAAAGGTGATTGATGGAGCTACTGGAGGAATTGGAGCCGAGTGAGGCTTGGCTAGATGATCCAAGATGAGATCTACTTTGGCTTCAAGAATCTTTAGGTTAGCAGAGGAATATAATGATCTAGTTGTGGACTTATGTTCCTTGAAAGGTTGATTCGTGGAGTTTGATGAAGATGTAGTTGGTTCTGTAGGAGGATTCTGAGATGTAGTTGTATTCGATGGAGGTTGAGGCTTGAGAAAAATTTGGGTCATGACTCCGATGGATTCTAAGACATATTCATCTGAATCATTACCAGATGTGTAGTCTCTTGAGCTAAGCTTCGTTCTAGTGACTGTTTTGGAAGATGTTTTCAAAGTTGTAGAAGTACATGGTGGTGAGTGATTACCTTTTGTAGCGTGTTTCTTCAGAAGCTCTTATGTTTGAGCTTTGATTCTGGAACTTTCTTCTTCTGCACTTTGCTTTTCTTCATAAACTTTTCTTTCGACAACTTTCAGCTCTTTTCTTTCTTTTTCTTTCTTCTCCATTAACTCACATAGAGCTTTCCTCTGTAGAGTAGTAGTTTGTTCCATATCTTGTCTTTCTTTCTCCTATTTCTCTTTCAACTCTTTTTCCCATATTATCTTTGTAGCAATTGCTTTATATTTGTCTGAAATTCCTGACAGATCAGGATATTTGACATGTTTGGATGGATCCGGGGAAATTTTTTTGTCAAGTTATCTTGATTAGAGTAAATCACACACACGCACACACAAACCAACCGTTCTGTGGAACTCTGTTCAAGTATATATAAATAACGAGGTATTTTTCTAGCTACACTTACATGATGGTGTTTATGTTATTCATAAAAGGATTTCCTTACGATATATCCATGGTTCTGGCAGAATAAGTTGTACTCGAAGCAGAGGCTTCAGAGTTGTAGTGTATGCAAAAATAAATAAGATATTCTCTTATGATAACAAGAAAATTTCACCTTAAGGAATGTCCGTTTGGGGATGAGTGGATGAATATTTAATAACACCCTTTTGAGAGGGAGTGGTTGTGGAACCAAACTTTACCCATTTAACTTTTGAGACATCTCTTTCTTGAGGAGATGAATGGATGGCTTTAGATTCCTCTGACCCGACGGGAGGTCTTTTATCACCCCCATACTGTTATGAGTATGTGGTGTGCGATAAGATACACCTTTTTTTTGGGGGGGGGGGGAGGAGGAAAGGGAACAGTTGAATCTTTGAGTTTCTTGTCTACTTTGTTCTTCCTCGACACTTGCTTCCCTTTTGGTGATGTGGTGGTGACTTTAGACCTTGAGGCTTTCTACAAAGTTCTTGTTGAGGATGGGGTAGGATGCTCCGGTTCTGGTTCATCCGTATCCTTAATGTGTTTGGCAAGAACTTCTAAATCTATTGAAATGATATCCAGAAGAGCAGTTGGTAATTGTTTGGTTGCCCCGAATTCGGTTTGATAAGAAACAACAAATCTCTTCATCTGATGAGTTTCAACAATTTCGAGAGATTCATCGACCAAAATCTTTGAAGCATTGTAAAGGGACTCAAGGCAGACGATCCAGAAGCGAGCATGAGGGATCTCCGTATTTTTTATGCCAATGTATTCCATGAAATCGTCCCACATACATGTAACATAATCTACTAGTCTTCCAATGATGTAGCCCCAGAGAATTTGAAGCCAAGTTGTGCTGAGTTGATCAGTTCCTCCATTATATCCAGTAAGGAATTGAATAATGATGTGCACAAGGAAGTTCCAAATGTTTGGGAGATTTGATTTCTTGAAGTTACTAGTGTTTTCAAGGGGAGCTTTGTAACCAATCTCTAGCAGTTTTCAAAAAACTTAAACAGAAGAGGGTGTCTTGTACCGAGAACGAATTGCAACCTTAGGGAGTCCAATGGATTCAAGAAAGATGTGTTTGGTGAAAAACACATTATCTTTGTTGAAAAGTTGAAGTTGGACACGATTAAGCTTATGATCAACCTTCGCAATATCATTGGCTTTGATTAGGTATGCAAAATGAACCGTGGAGGTGGAGATAGTGAGATGAATGAACAAAGCATGATGCTTTAGGGCTTTTATTAGAGGTGCAAGAAATGAGTTGTAAAGCTAGGCATCAAGAATGGCTTGAAGGTTGCAAGAAGCAGATTTATAGGCAATCTTGGATTGAGATGAAGCACCAGGATTCTTAGAGGAAGTTCCAAATTTTGCCGTTAGAGCAGGAAGAAGAAGGATGAACAAGAGAGAGAAATTTGTAGTTTAGAACACAAACACTTGATTTGAGAGTGTGGGTCGAATCGTGTGAGAGAGAGTCTATATATGTGTTTGGAGTGACCGGATATGATCATAAACTGTTAGTTTCTTTTAAAAGAGAGTTAAAAAGAGTGATAAGTACAACGCATTAAATGATAATTGCAAAGTCATTTATTGTAAAAACTCGAGTGATCCGGTATTCTACGTTCAAAAAACCCACATTGATGTGACAATTAAACGGTTGAGAGATTATTTTTTATTATTTCAGAAAATGAGGGTCCACCCTTGGAAGAAAAGAAAGCTTTTAAATTCAAACACATGTCTTTTATTTTTGAAAAAGTGTACTTTTGAAAAGAGAATGATTTGTTCAACTAAATGTAATCATTGGTGATTTTGAAAGCAAACATTCTTGCACAAACATGAGTCCACAAGAATAAATTGATTAAGAATTTAAAAAAAATCATAAGAACTCTATTTATTATACCTTTTAGGTTTTGAGATGACGTCTTATGATGGAATGGTCTAATTAGCACTAAATCACAAACACTTTTAAGAAACGAAAGGTTAGATAAAAACCCACAATATGACTTTTATCTGAAGATTAAGTCAAAAGGCAATTAGGTTGCTTCTGAAATGAGCTTCTGAGATTCCTAATAATAATCTTCTGAGCGATCAGAGGAAATGACCATGAATATCAAAAACTTCAGATAGAGAGTAATATTAAGTCAACATATTAGGATCAAGATTAAGCATCTAACATGTTGAGAAAGTTATTAAAGGTGGTTTGATCAAGAGCCTTTGTGAAAACATATGTGATCTCTTTTATTGTTGGAACAAAAATTATTTCAATGTTTCCTTTCAAGATGTTGTCTTTTAAAAAGTGATATCAAATATCGATGTGTTTAGTCGATCCGGTCAAGATCGAGGCGGTAATGCAGTGGGAGGTCCTGAAGTCTCCATCTGAGATTCAGAGTTTCCTTGGGTTGACAGGTTACTACAGGAGGTCCATTCAGGATTTCTCCAAGATTGTTGTTCCTCTCACTTGATTGCCGAAGAAGAGTGTTGGCTTCCATTGATGGCCTAAGCAACATGCGACATTTAAGACTCTGAGGCATAAACTATGTGAGGCCCCAATATTGACCCTTCCTGAGGGAGTTGAATATTTTATGGTGTATTGTGACGGTTCGATCACATGATTGGGAGCGGTGCTCATGCAACGAGGTAGGGTGATTGCTTATTCTTATAGACAGTTGAAGCCACACGAGGCTAAGTATCATACACACGATTTTAAGGGGATCGAAGAGGACAATTGGAAGTAGGAAAAGATGAGGGTCACATTTCTACCATTTTCACGGATAGTCAAGGGTTATTGACTCTGTGTGGTCGAGTTTGAGTTCCAGTATCTCGTGGGCTTCGCCAGACATTGCTAGAGAGTGGGTATGTCATTATACCTAAATGACAATATGGTTACCTGTACTTTAAAAAAATGCAAAAATTTGTAGCTTTTTCATAATGTGAAGCATAGTTTATGGCTGTTACAAGTGCAACTTGTCAAGGGATTTGGTTAAGGCGTTTTGGTAATTGAACTAACATAAAGAAATGTCACACATGTAATGTTGCGAGTAGATAACAAGTCAGCCCTAGACTTGATGAAAAATCTTGTGTTTCATGGTATGAGTAAGCACATTGATAGTAGATATCATTTCATACAAGAGCGTGTAGAAAAAAAAAAGGATGTTGTGGCCAAGCACACATGCACTAAGGAGCAACGAGCCGACGTACTCACAAAGTCACTTCCGAGAAACAAGTTTGAAAAGATGAGAAGTATGTTGGGAGTGAAGAAGGTGGTGAATGCTGAATTAGGGGGAAAATATTGGACTAATTAAGAATATGGGACAAAATTATCCTAGAGGTATTTTGAAAATTCTATTTTTAAAGGTTTTTGAGTTAGTTGAAGAGTCTAATTTCGTTGAGTATAAATAAAGATTAATTAGAAGCAATTGTATTTAGTTTTCATTCTTGTTTCCATGTAAAGCTTGGTGAACAAATATTTTTTCTAGAAAAAACGCTTTGTCCTTTATATCATTTTTATTCTTCGTATTCTTGCTATGTTTCTTTTCTGCGTTCTTCCTCACATGTACTTTGGTGATCAAGGATTATTATATAGATTTTACTTACGACATCAATTTCTAAGGACTCATAATGGTTCCAATATTGAATTATGAAAAATAAAATTCATAAATTTGAAATCCGTTGTACACTAGAAGAATTCAAGTCCGTCGAATATACACTTTTAACAAAAAAAAATTCACATATAGTAAAATAGTAAATGGTGAAAAGTTACCATTAAATCTTAGTACGTAGCTAACTTATTAAATGACAAGTAATAACTGTCTGATTAGTTAAAGCTCATTTATTGATTAAAATGAAGTTAATGTAAATTATTTGATTAAACCCACTACACTAATTATCTTTAATCTATGAGCACATGAGATGTACAATCCGTATAGAATTCACACCACATCCATAAGAGACCCACATTTGATTTCACCTTCTTCATCCCATCAGGGCAAGCGTCTCAGGCATGGTTTTAAAAGTTTAGGCTTCCATAGAAGGCTATTGGAATTTGGAGGTAGATCTTTTGTCGTTGCTCCGAAAGGTTACTTGTTTAAGAAGAAAGCTCAACATAAAAACAAATATGGATCAATAATAACAAGTTGGGCCTGATGGGTCTATACATGGCCCATTCGGAAATAAAGAACCAGTAATTATCCTGTAATAGCCAATTACGAATATTTTTGGGATTTTAGCATGGCGAAAATGGTTTAGTGATTCTATAAAAATAAAAAATAAAAATGAAATAATGTAGAGTTTGTTAAAGGGCCGGTGGCAGCTAATGAACAATTGCACGGCGGTCTCAGATCGGTCTCGAAATGATCCTGTCTTTCTGGGACTGGTCTCAAGCGACCTTTTTTTGGCCCTGTTTTTTCGGACAAGTCTTGGCCTTCTTCGGTCCAGTCTTGCGGACTTTGCGTGCGCCTTTGCGGTTGGATTCGGGTTTTTTTTTCCCGTTTTTTCAAGTTTCTTTTCGATCTTTTCGTGCACCAAACATGAAATAATAAAAGTGATAAAGAAATCCTTACAAATAAAACTATGTACCCATATTCAAATGAGATTTTTATAAGCGAGTAACTTTTATATAGCTTTAAGTAACTTTTTATATGTAAAAAGGGTATTATTTATTCATTTTGGCATAACCAATTCTGTACAAAACAAATACTTATATATCTAGAATAGTATACTCTTTATTTGAAAA